TCTATGTCACCATATGGATTAATTATCCACGGTGGTATTACCATAGTCAAAATATCCTCAAACCTAGATTCAAAATCTGAATAGAGGGCATTTAATTGTTGAACGTAAGTTGAAACGTCGTCTTCCTGGCAGCCTGTCTGTGACAAATTGGGGAACTAAGAAAATTCGCCCCGTCCAATATTTTGCTTCATTAGTTTAACTCTGGCAAGAAACGCTGATAAGATGGACTTTGTTTTAATCAAATTTAAACTGTCGCCTTGTAATTGCAAATTAACCATATTAAATTTTGTAAACAAATCTGTTAAATAGGCGATGTCTGTTTTCCTCTTCATCAAATTTTCTTTTAAAATTTTATCTTTAGTATCCAGAAATTCTAAAATAGTCTCAAAAAGTGCAAAAAATCTTGTCAAACATAAGCCTTTCGACAGCCAGCGTACTTCAGTGTGAAGGAGTAATTGATGAAAGTGTTCGTCATTTTCTTCACACAACTGCGCAAATAACCGCGTATTCAACGCGTTGCTTCGGATTCGGTTTACTGCATCAATGACTAAATGAAGTGATTCATGCAATCTAACACTCAAATTTTTAGCAACTAAATGTTGTCGATGGATGACGCAATGTATTGCTAACACCCCTGACACATTTTGTTTTAAATTGCTTATAAATCCACGATAACGTCCAACCATGGCAGGTGCTCCATCTGTAGCTGCTGATATCATATTTGATAAAGGAATTGGTTTTTCAATGAAGTAATCCTTCAAAACATGAAATATTGATTCACCTTTAGTGTCGGTTATCAAAGTTCTTGCGAAGAGCAGTTCTTCGTAGATTTCTTGATTCATAATAAAACGAACATATGCCAATAATAATGCTGCATTATCAGGTAAAGTTGACTCGTCCAGTTGTATAGAGAAATGGGTCGTTTGCAAATAATTACATAAGAAGCTTTCAATATCAGAACTCATTTCATCAATACGTCTTTCAACAGTATTGTTGCTTAAGGAAATTCTTTTAATGATATTAGATGCAGGTTTGTGTTTTAAAACCTCTTCAACGGCTGGCAAAATTAACTTACATCTTGTGAAATGTATTATGAATGCTGATAAGTATACTAGGTGACATATAAATCCGAACACCCAGTTTAAATGGTTTTATTTTAATAAAAGTTGGTGAATGTATTTATCTTACTGTAAATAACAAGTGAAAAAATGTTCAGCCTTATCAGTTGGACATTCCGGTCTTTATACTGCTTTTTTTTAATTCTCTAACGCTCTAAAAATGAATATTTCAGCCGCAGTAAAGAATCAACGTTGGCGGATTTTGGTTCTTGACATCCTTTACGATCGGTTACGATGCCTAGAGTACGGAGACCTGACGTGGTGAAAGGAGGAATCCACAGTTTTTTGTTGAAAGACATGTTCATCACACTGTTTGAGATATGGTTTGGGGTGCTATAGCTTATGGTTCCAGGTCACCTTTAATCTTCATCAGAGGTAACATGAACGCGCAGCGTTATATCCACGAAGTTCTAGAACCCCATCTTTTACCCTATCTTGACACCCTGGCAGATCCAACTTTCCAACAAGATGATGCCCGACCACATGTTGCAAGAGTCACAATAGACTTCTTTCAACATAATGATGTCACATTGTTACCATGGCCACCAAGATCTCCCGACTTATCCCCAATTGAGCACGTGTGAGATATGATGGGTAGGAGATTGCTCAATTTGCAACGTCCTCCTCAGACTCTAGAAGCTCTTCGAGAGGAGTTGGTGGTTGCCTGGAATGAGATACCACAGGAGGACATTGACCACCTGATCAGAAGCATGCCTAGGCGCGTTGGAGAATGCGTAGCACATCAGGGTGCATCCACACATTATTAAAGGTCAAAGGGATTTAAAGCAGTGCAATCATTTTGAAATTTTTATCATTTACTTATTATGCTTCATTAAGTACTTATACAAAATTTTATTAAAATAAAACCATTTAAACTGGGTGTTCGGATTTATATGTCACTTAGTATATGTATATTTACATTAATCTACTGCTAATCGCTGTTTCAAATCCAAGATATTTAATTCTTGGCGTGTGCATAAATCGATCAAATTTATGATCTTTTTTGAGCCTTATTTTGGACTATTTGCACTTTATTGAAATTAACTTTTCCGCATATGCCCCACACAGGAAGCAAATATCAAAGATGTGAAGAAAAATAACACATTATATTCAACAGCATTTGTTAGATAACGATTTTTATATAATGCACCAATCATAGAAGTAATTTTATTGATTATGTGGTTAATGTGCTTACTCCAAGTTGAATCATCATCAATTCTTAAACCTAAATATTTGATACAGTCTACTTCTTCTAACACAACGTTATTTATCTTTGGTACAATATTATTACTCTTACGTCTATACACCATAAACACAATAACCATTTATAATACTGATCCAGATCATTATTTATCACAGCTTCTAGGTTAGATTCATTATCACATGTGTATAATAGTGCAGTATCATCAGCAAATTAAAAAAAATACACACAAGATTAGCATAACGCAAGCTTAAAACGTAAAGAGAATATAAGAGAGGTCCAAGAACAGATCCCTGAGGTACACCACACGCTTAGACAAACTTTCACTTCCACTATTACCTGTTTTAACATAATGCCGCATACCCACTAGATATGATCTTAAAAGATTGAAAAATAATCCCCTGAATCCCAGATCACTAAGTTTGCATAACAAAATATCATGACTTACAACATCAAATGCCTTACAAAGATATACAAATACTACAATTACAGTTTCCTTGTGGTCTATTGAAATTATTATTTTATTTACAAGATTCATACTGATACGGTACCCCATGGGTGTTTAGTCCTTAGGCCTTCGTAGGGGTTGGAGTATAAAAAATGTAGAATAGGACATCCCCCCGCTCTTCAATTGTCAGAATGTCACAAGGGTATTCGCTCTAAGAAGCACTGATGCGGCACACGTTCCACGCACCCGGCTTTTTAATTTTCAGTTGCACAAGCCCCCTCCCCAAGACGAGTATCATTCTGAACATGAATCATGCTCCCTCCCAAGAAGTTCAAATTCATATGCACACTCAACAATATTTTCTAGATCGGTCCCTGTGTGATCTCCATGCCATATTGGGCCAAAATCTTTCCTTCAACACAAATGTGGTCAGTATAAATAATCAACGGTATAACCACATAATACGTTTCAGGAGTTGCATTAACTACTTGGATACAATTTTTTTAAAGTTTATCGACTCTAATATTATTCTTCGAACGTCTTGATTCATATACCTACCTAGGTAGATATACTAAGTGACATATAAATCCGAACACCCAGTTTAAATGGTTTTATTTTAATAAAATTTTGTATAAGTACTTAATGAAGCATAATAAGTAAATGATAAAAATTTCAAAATGATTGCACTGCTTTAAAGCCCTTTGACCTTTAATAGTGTGTGGATGCACCCTGATGTGCTACGCATTCTCCAACGCGCCTAGGCATGCTTCTGATCAGGTGGTCAATGTCCTCCTGTGGTATCTCATTCCAGGCAACCACCAACTCCTCTCGAAGTGCTTCTAGAGTCTGAGGAGGACGTTGCAAATTGAGCAATCTCCTACCCATCATATCCCACACGTGCTCAATTGGGGATAAGTCGGGAGATCTTGGTGGCCATGGTAACAATCATTATGTTGAAAGAAGTCTATTATGACTCTTGCAACATGTGGTCGGGCATTATCTTGTTGGAAAGTTGGATCTGCCAGGGTGTCAAGATACGGTAAAAGATGGGGTTCTAGAACTTCGTGGATATAACGCTGCGCGTTCCTGTTACCTCTGATGAAGATTAAAGGTGACCTGGAACCATAAGCTATAGCACCCCAAACCATAACTCCAACAGTGTGATGAACATGTCTGCCAACAAAAAACTGTGGATTCCTCCTTTCACCACGTCGCCTTCTAACCCTGGCACGACCATCGTGCATGCCAAAACAAAATCGAGACTCGTCACTAAAGACAATACTGTTCAATTCCTGATCCCAGAGTGACCGTTGTCTGCACCACTCAAGGCGATTACGTCGGTGTTCTCGAGTTAAAGGGAGGACCGAGTGTGGCCGGTATGAAAACAAGCCAAAACTTCTCATTCGTCGGTAAACACTTCGCATGCCAATAGGTCTTCCGTGTTCTGCAAACCATTCATTTGCAATGGACCTGGTAGTGGAGAAACGGTCAATAATCTTAGGCGGCGATCTTCACGGTCTGTTGTTCTACGGCGGCGTCCAGTGCCCCTTGCTCTTTGCGTACGGCCTTCTCGAAGCCATGCCTGACAACACCTAACCACACTGTCTACACTTCTTTGCACTCTAACTGCAATTGCCCGAAAAGAAAGTCCAGCTTCCCGAAGTCCCACTATACGGCCCCTATCAAACTCACTAAGTTGACGAAATCGTACAGTTCTCCGTACTCTAGGCATCGTAACCGATCGTAAAGGATGTCAAGAACCAAAATCCGCCAACGTTGACTTTTTACTGCGGCTGAAATATTCATTTTTAGAACGTTAGTGAATTAAAAAAAAGCAGTATAAAAACCGGAATGTCCAACTGATAAGGCTGAAAATTTGATCACTTGTTATTTACAGTAAGATAAATACATTCACCAAGTTTTATTAAAATAAAACCATTTAAACTGGGTGTTCGGATTTATATGTCACTTAGTATATTTTGTTTTTAATTTTACACGAAGTGATGATGAATCCACGTCGTGATAGTATGTTATCTTTTTGTCTCTCATCAAGAACAAGCGCGCTCTACAATCAAAGCGCAATGATACTCGAAAAGAAGCTGAAATCTGAAAACGGTATTTATATGAAATTATGTATTCTTGTAGAGGACTTGGCAACGCTGCAGGAATCAGCAACGGCGATTTGAGTACACCATTCCGTCTCGCTCCGTCTCGTGGCGCACGTTCAGTTTCGTCTAGCGACGTGAGGAGAACGTATCTATACGTCGCTTTCGTCGAAGTCGACGTTCCGTGCTCGGTAGACACTCGATAGTGACAAGTGCGTCGCGAATCCCTCGTTTCCTTTCCTAAAGTGTGCCGGTTCCCTGTCAAACTGTGGTGCGAAATGGAACCGCCGGGAGGGAGAGACTCCCGTTTCAATCTGGGATACAGCATGAATCTCCTTTCCGGGGAAACAGCCCCTGACATCTACGGTCGGCCTTCCACCAGCTTGCAACAGCTTTCTCCAAGGCACACGATGGTGTCCAGCGCTTGTGGGGGCAGATCCTCGGTGCTCAAATCGGACATGTACGATGACAGGGCCGGTAACCAAGGGATCTCCCAGCAAGGCATGGGCGGCTTAGATTCATGCGGGGTTAACGACATCAACGATGAACCTTACGGTGCTATGCAGTCCAAGAAATCACCGCCTAGTAATGGCAAGAAGACCAAAGGCCGTGTCAAGATCAAAATGGAGTATATCGAGAACAAACTCAGGCGGTATACGACGTTCTCGAAGAGAAAGACCGGAATTATGAAAAAGGTGAGAGACCTAACCTCAAATTTAGAGAATATCCGGGCAGCCGGGATACAATCGTTCGTTCGTCGTCTATTTACATCTCGCTGTAGTCACATTTGCTCGTATTGTCACGCGGAAGTAACTGTATGAGCTTTACATATTCAGCTGTTTCAGAAGCCTTATACATAACCTCAAACAAATCAGCTGATTGTGCTTGTCAACTCCAGTTTTGTGAATGCCATAATATTTATTATCGGAAGCAAAGATAATGTTCCGGAGAAGTATCCGAAAAATAATGACACACAGTGGAGGAATTTGGGGTGGGGGGAGAGGGTGTGGTTACGAGGAACAGCTCCACCCCCAAAACCTAATGTGCGGACTCAAAACGCACAAAATAAAATTTGACTAAACGTTGCACCTAAAATAACAAGGAGTGTTCAGAGAATATTAAATTATTTGTAAACTTCAAACCCCAAGGATGTTATTTCTCAACCTGAATCTTTGTGCCGTTGCTTTCCCCGTGTTACAATTTTTTCTGAGGGTTTTTTCAGTAACATTGTTTTCTAGTTTAATTTAATTAATCCACATACTTTTCTGATAGTGATAAGACATATGGCCGGTTTCATAGTCTTCACTCCTTTAGCCGCCAGTTCTATGATGTGTATCCCATATGGCATTAAGCGAAGGTTATCTTTGATTCGACGTTATGGAATCTTCCCTTTTCCGGTGCAAATAATGTACTTGTGCCGTATGAGGGTGATTGTGCGAATACTGAGAAAATTGAAAAGTAATTCGACAGATCAAATAATATAAAATTATCACTTCAACAATCACTTGAATGTGTTCTGAAAAAGTGTGATAGGTACTGTGGGACATTGAACCAGCTACGTATTGTCTAATTTTGGATTTATTTGGTGTTTTTGGGAAAAAAATTACACGGGAACGATGACCTGTACACGGGAATGACAAACTTTAAACACGGGAATGTCGATGCACGAAAAATATGAAACTATATATTTAGGAGACATTCAACAATGCTGTTTCAAATAAATCCATTGAAAATTCTGTAAGGCCTCATTTCGAAACTACTCTTTAAAAAAAGGGGTTTGGCATTTTCACAGTCGTTGCATTTACGCGTAAGGCAGTCTTCACCATATGTTTGTGTTGTTTAGGTATATCATTGGTAGTTTTTCATGGAAGCTAAATCATTTACCTTCAGACTGTGAACAATCATTTCCATATTGGCGTGTGTAATAAATACATTTACAAATGAATCTGTCACGAATTCTCGTACGCTTAACATAGAAGGTTCTAGCAAGACAAAAAAATGTGTAAACTTATTTTGAAGCAAGTAGGCATTTTTGGGGAAGATTCTTCCAAGTGTTTAAGAAGAAACTTTTCTGTTTTGTTACTTTATTTTTTTTCACAAATTCGTTTTTGCCAGGGCATATCCTCTAGTTCTAAAAAGTCTTCAATCCTTTAATAAGTTCTGTTCTTTAGACATTTTCAGCCTTTTTTCAATCATTTGTTATATCGATCTTTTTGTTATTTGATGAGTCTTGAAATCTCAAGACTGTGGAAAGTTTGGTCCGTATTCTGTATTTCTTTACCACTTTGCTATACAACATTTTTTTAAAGACTCCTTAGTCTCTTTTAATTCTTGATAAGTATTTACCAACTGCCACTGTACTGCTTCTCCGAATATTCTGCTTTTCTTTAATTTTTTAACTCTCCAAGGTTCAATATCACTGGACAACAAGTTTTAGTTTTTTAATTGTATCTTGTGGGAAAAGTGCACTTCTTTGTTAATTTTGGGGCGCTGAATCCAAAAATGATAATGAAATAAAAAAATTAGTTGCGGTTTAGAAAAAAAACTTTTTATTTTTAAGGATATATTAAAAAAAGTAACAAGATTCATATACTTATAAGAATCACTGTATGCGCTGTCTTTTTGCTGTTCTTTTATGGATCGTTTCTGGAGCATCTCTACCAAGAGTCCAACAGTAGTCTGCAAGCATGGACGGATTCCACTTTCCCTGGTACTTTTTTTCCATTGTTGCAATATCCTGATGAAAACGTTCGCCGTGCTCATCACTTACGGCTCCGCAATTGTCAGGAAAAAAGTCCAGGTGTGAGTGTAGGAAATGTATCTTAAGAGACATATTACAGCCCATCTTTTGATACAATGACAGCATATTTTTGACAAGGGTTTTATAGTTGTCAGCTTTGCTATTTCCCAAGAAATTAGTGACCACCAGACGGAAATCATTCCAAGCAGTTTTTTCAATCCCTGTTAAAGTATTTTCAAACTGTGTATCTTTCAAAATATTTCGAATCTGTGGCCCAACAAAAATACCTTCTTTAACCTTTGCCTCACTTAGTCTTGGAAATTTCTGACGCAGGTATTGAAAAGCTGACCCATCTCTATCTAATGCCTTGACAAAGTTTTTCATTAGGCCCAACTTGATATGCAATTGTGGTAATAAAATTTTGTTCGAATCTACTAATGGCATATGCTGTACATTTTTTTGACCTAGCTCTAGGAATTGACGAACAGGCCAGTATTGTCTGGTGTAATGAAGTGCCTTTGCCCGACTGTCCCATTCACACAAAAAACAGCAAAACTTTGTGTAGCCTAGCTGCAGCCCAAGTAAAAGTGCAACAACTTTCAAATCACCACAAATATGCCATTGGTGCTCATCGTATTTTATGCATGTCAATAGGTACTTCATATTGTCATATGATTCTTTCATGTGAACTGCATACCCTACAGGAAGAGATGGTAAAATATTTCCAATATGCAATAACACTGCCTTTAAACTCAATGTTGAACTGTCTATAAACAATCTCCATTCTTCTGGGTTATAGTTTATATTTAAAGCCGCCAGTAAGCCGTTAATGTTACTGCAGAAAACCAAGTTATTCTCCATATTGAAAAATGGTTCTAAGTCTTTGTGGCGTTTACGAAAAACACATACCGAAACATCGTCTTCTAATAAGTTCCACTGCTGCAGTCTTGATCCAAGTAACTCTGCCTTACATTTTGGAAGTTCTAAATCTCTTACAAGATCATTTAATTCTGACTGTGTTATTTTGTGCGGTTGGTGGCATGACGTGCTCGGTATAAAATCAGGATCTCTTGACGTTGATGGCATATCTTCTTCCTGACGAATCACTCGATCGCCATGATCTGATTCGTTTTGTGATTCGCAAGTGTAGGATTCTGGGGGTTTTGGAATAGGATTTTCGTCACTGTGAGGCACAGGTCTCATCGCAGATGGTATGTTTGGGTAGTTAATAACCGATTTTTTTTCTTGGACATACCTGTGGCTTGTCCAACACAAGGTACCATGCAAAAGTAACAATCATTAATATGATTTGTAGGCTCTCTCCAAACCATTGGGACAGCAAAGCGCATATATCGTTTTTTGCCATTTAACCAGCTCCTCATATTTGAAGCACATGTATTACAGCAGATGTGGGGTGCCCACTGTTTGTCTTGATCACCTAGTTTACAACCGAAATAAAGCTGATATGCCTTTGTTATTAGTGGAGTAATAGACCTTCTCTGAGACGCAAAAGTCACATCACCACACACGTAACAAAACTGATCTTGATTGTTTACACACTTTCGAGACATCTTGCATGAACGCTGTCAGCCAACTGAGGAAAAAATGGCTAATATAAAACAATATAATGTACACGTATGTATAACGTAACACAATCACGCCGATTAGATCATCTTTCCTTGCCGAATATAAAAATGTAGCACGTGCATTCTTGTGAATTACAGTATACTAACACAGCAGGAACACATATAATTACCGTATCTCTAAAACTTGAACTAATATTGAAAAAATAAGTTTCATTCCGGTTTTAGCACATTAAAAATAGTAATATTTTGTTGATTTTATTTAGGATATTTTTTGGCTGTTGATCAGTGTATTTGTCAAATTTTCTAGATTTTCTAGATCTGACGTTTCATTATTTTTTTCCATGATTTGTCTAACTAGAAGTCTATAAAAACTCTTCTTGTATATTTCAGGCTTCCTTTTTAAACCTTCATCTTACGCGCTAATTCCCTTCTTCCCCTAAATCGCTGGACTTTGTTTCTTTTAGATATCTTTTTACCATTCTATCCACAAAGATACATCCTTGTTTGGCGGCTAGTTTCAATCACCAGTTGGATTTTTTGTCATATTCGTCATTCTCCTGTTAAGCATGTCATTCCCGTGTTAAAAAAAAATTGCACGGGAATGGCATATCGAGCAAAATTTATTTATTAAATTATTGAGATAAGTCACAGTGTGACAGGGAAATTAGTTGAACTTTATTTGAAGGGAATTACTTGAAGAAATTACAATCACCTAAATTATTTTTAACTTCCCATGATGAATCATCAGGTTACAACCTGCTTGAAAGCAATTTGACAGACAACATATTCGCTTTCAACGTCGGGCATACGCAGATTGTCTGATTTTATAAAAACTTCGGCACGGGAATGACGGGATTTTCAAGAGACAAAGTTCAAAAATATTTAATTCAAGTATGCTTAACTAGTCATACAGGGTGTTCCTTAATGAAATGCGAATATTTTAGGGTGTAAATCTACATGAAAAATTAATGTTAGTTTGCTTTATAAACTATGGTCCAAAAATGTTTCTTTAAAAAAACTCGGGGTGTAGAAGTTTTAGGAAAAAAATGGAAATTAATTAATATTTTCAGAACCGCTTCAGATATTTCACTGATATTTAGTACGTAGTGAAAGTTAGTAAAGTTGCATATTTTTCAATGCAAAAATAATTTTTAGCTTTAACAGTGGAGTACGTACGGGTATTGAATTCGATATTTTTTAAGAAAAAAATGGCACACCAATGGTTTTTTGCCAAATAAAAATTATTTTTAATTCCCCGTCCAATTTAAAACAAATGATCTCTCTTGAATTGCTTTCCTTCATCCGTCATTTTTGAGTAAAAAAATAAAAACCGTTCTATTGTCCGAGAAAATTAATGTAATAATTGAAA